GTAGTAATAATAATAAAATTTCTTCACACATCAGCATCTCAGAATTACAAAAAATTACTTTGGGCGGATCTGTACATAACTTCCGCAAAACCCTTTGCACCTAAACGACATTTTTCAAATGTGCCCTTTTTACTGATAGACCCGGAGGGTACCTGGTAATTAGGCTCTTAAAATTACTCTCGAGTGATACCACACACAATAATAATAATAATAATAATCTCCTTGTATCGCTCCAGTAAGTACCTGACTCCTCATGCTAAAATCCTCTACCATCACAAGAGCCAGATGAGTCTGCAAATGGAATACTGTTTTCATATTTGCGCGGGAGTTACCCAGTCCCCGGCTTTCCTGTTTCGATAGAGTTCAAAAGCGTCTTCGAGTCTTTGTGGGTGACGAATTATTTTTCAGCCTTCAGCTTCTCTCTCACAGGTGGGATGTGGCTAGACTTCTCACTTCTCTATCGCTACTTCCATGACAAGTGCTCAGACGAATTACATTCATTGGTTCCGCGAGGTCAGACCTTCACGGCCAAGACCCGCAATGACACTCACATTGCAGCAAAGCATCCACATTTTCTCCGTATTCCATCAGTGAGAAGCAAGTTCCACGCAAACAGCTGCTCCCCATGAACCACTGTTCTGTGGAACCGAGTCCCTAGAGGTTGTTTCCAAGATCTCTACAATCTTAACCTGTTCAACAGTTATTTCCCCTCCTATGCGAATAAATAGCATTTTTAATGTAACTCTCTACCTTGAGTGACCAGCGGGCATTGGACAGGGTGAACATTAATGTAAAATAAAAAAAGGCCTGGAAATCATATCAAGAAAATTTCAAAATGAAGCTGAAAAAGTAAAAGAAAAATATATATTGGTTTTACCATAGAACTGATAAAATAGAGGAGAAAATACGGGAAGTACCTGGAACACTCTCAAGGTGATTTTAAATGGTATATGCTTCATTCGTGATCAGTGAATAAAGGCGATTAAATTCTTTGGGGTCTTAACATTCCTACTGGTAGACATATAAAAGCTAAAAGACGGAATATCATGACAAAAACCTATAATCAAAATTGTGCTTTCTTATAGATACGCCATTGCTGTCAGGTAAATACGTCTGTTAAAGAATTTCGTCAAAATAAGTAAATATAAGGATTCTAAAATTGGCACATTAGTAGTCGTGTTATAATCATAATTGTATCAATTGGTCCAATCAATGGGTCACGTGGAGTAATGGATAGCGGCTCGGATTGAGGAATCGGAGTTCGAATTCCTGTCGAATCCATTACATTAACTTACGTGCTGATATCCTTGAGAACAGTCTGAGTCCACTTCTCTCGCCAGCTATGGGTAAATAGCAGAACAGACCGTGTTCTATAGACTTGGATGGCAACTGGTCTACCGCAGAAAGAAATGGCAACCTACTGTGTGAAAAAAAAATCTGCCTCGTCAGTCATGTATCGAAAGAGACATGATCCCCTAAGCGTGTATCATGCATGGCACATAACGGACTGTCTGATCTATCTATAGCAGGACAGATCGGATCCTATAGTCTTGGATGGCAACTGGTCTACCACAGAAAGATATGGCAACCTACTGCGTGAAAAAAATCTGCCTCGTCAGTCATGTATCAAAAGAGACATGACCTCCTAAGCGTGTATCATGCATGGCTATAAATCTCAAGCCAAACCCCAATCTTCTCAAGTTCTTTCTTTTCTTTCTATGTGCCGTATTCTTACAGGACGTAGTCGATCATGGCTCTCCACCTCCCTCTATCTCTTGCAGCTCTCAAAAATTCTTTCCATCTGCCACCTTCTCCAGACCACGTTATGTCATCCACTTGCTTAAGTCCGCCAGGTATGTCACGCGTTGTTTTCCCCTGTCTTTCTTTCCCTCTATTCGACACATGAGTATCAGATTCTCCAAGCCCTCTTTCTTCATTATGTGTCCTAGAAACATCAGCTGCCTCTTCCTGATGTTATGTATAAGCCTCTTGCTTGTTTGCAACCTCTGTAAGAATTCATCGTTGCTCACATGCTCGGTCCATGATATCCACATTAATAGAGCATTAAAAGCTAATTGATCTGATATAATCGCTAAAGGCAATAAAATTTAATATGGCTGTTATAATTAGTTTCAATATAACTTCTAAAATATTCGAAGAAAACAAAAAAGAAAAACAAGAAAAAAAACAAACAAACAAACAAAAAAAAACCAAAAAAAAAAACAAACAAACAAAAAATCAAAATACAAAGACTTAGAAATAAACAACAGAAAATGTGGAAAATAACAGCTACTAAAATCCCAGTAGTTGTGGGTGCACTCGGTCCCGATAACAATAGCCCAGACAACTTCATCCTGTCTATAAGAATTACGGAAAATAGTACTTAGCACTACTGTTCATATAGTCCTCAGAACATTGTCGACGTAAATTTTATTTTCTTCCGAAAATGATCAATTTAGTCAACACCTGAAAATTCAAAAGCCATCATTTTGCTGGGTAAGCAAAAGCCGTAATGCAACATCTCCTGAAGTGAAAGTGAAAGTGAAAGCTTTATAACACAGCCTTATAAAACCTTTACAAATTCTATACGGACAAGATGCATGTGGACATGTTCGGACATAAGTATTTTCTCATGCATTTAAAATGTAACAATCATAAAAATAAACTCCCTGATGCTATACCTGTCATGACTCTTCTGACTTTTGATCTTAACTGACTGGAGGTATTAAAATGTATATAGTTTGACTTGGTGAATTTGGATCGGCTATAATAAACATATTGTTCAGTACTACGGATTTAATTCTCCATTGCCTGACCATAATCAGTTGGTCATGTCACGTAGGGATTGACGCATGGTGCATTAGGGAAGGTCAGTTTAGGAACTGTGTCATTGCACTCAATTTGAAAATTGGGGTTTCAAATAATAAATAACAACACAAAATATTATTTTCAAAATCATTACCAATTTCAAGGATTAAGTTTAGCTTTTAAAATCTTAGCGTTGGAATTTAATTCTGGTGACCAGTGAAAGCCTTAAAGCACAGCGATATAAAATTTATAATTTACTGAAGCTTTACAAATTTATATGGACAAGATGCATGGCACAAGAACATTATTTTTAAATCATTGTACCATCAAATATGATCATAATTTACTTCAAAGGGAAATAATACTGAACAATCTGGTTATGATTAGTATATTATACAGTGCAGTAGTTTTAGTATGGCTTTCAATAAGCAATATGAATCTAAACATTTTATCTTATAATTTGTGCTGAGCAGTATTATGGTGCTATATACATTTTTATTTATTTTATATTTTTATTAATTATGATCTAACAAATCTTATTCACTGAGTAGCCTTTGTTAGAATTTTTTACACAGTTTTTAATTATCTAATGTATATTTTGCTCGTAGCGATTCATAATTAGAATTCTGGTTGGAATATATTTTTTTGCATTCAATCTATCTATTTACATTATTTACATTATACGGACTTTTATCCTCATTTTCATTGCCATATTCACAACATTTCGTCCAGTGGAACCGTTACAGAAATGAAACTTCTCAAGAATAACAATAATAATCCGCTAAGTGATGAACACTTAAAGTCAGAGGAAAATTGCAGGATACCTAAAGCTGCTGGTTCTGACCTGCTGCTCCATAGATTGATTGTGAGTTATTAAGTTCATATCTGAGAAAATACGGGAATAATAATAATAATAATAATAATAATAATAATAATAATAATAATAATTTATTTTTTTTACAAAAGTGTTCAGTGGAAAATGTCTTTATACCATTTCTACCTTAAAAACCTTGTTTGGACCCGGAAGGAAATGATATAAAACTGAAATCAGATGAAATAATAATAATAATAACAACAATAATAATAGTAATAATAATTATAATTATTATTATTATTATTATTATTTATTTTTTTACAAAAATGTTCAGTGGAAAATGTCTTTATACCATTTCTACCTTAAGTAGCTTGTTTGGACCCGGAAGGAAATGATATAAAACTGAAATCAGATGAAATAATAATAATAATAATAATAATAATAATAATAATAATAATAATAATAATAATAATTTTTTAATAAAAATGTCCAGTGGAAAATGTCGTGATGCCATTTCAAACTTTAGGTACCTTGTTGGGACTCGGAAGGAAATGGTATACAAGGGAAATCAGATGAAATAATAATAATAATAATAATAATAATGATAATAATAATAATAATCGTATTTTAAAGAAGCAAACAAAAGGCAGCGTTGGTACTTACCCTCCGTGTGAGCTCACCAATCATTCCGTCCCACGTATTATTCGGTAATTTCTGTCCGTAGTTACCGTCTTTTACTAAACGAAACACATAATCCATTTGGATTATCCTCTTCAGATGTTCAGCCAATTCCACACAGTAACCTGTAACATTAAAAAAGAGTGCCACACATTTGTTTGTCCAGGACAGGTGAAGAAACTTGTTTTTGATGTGATGTGTATTTGTGTCGTGTTTAAGGTGTTTCTATCGCATCGTAATCGCCCCCCCTAAATATTCCATTTTCGTCAAATTCCTTATAGCTCTTATAACGCGTCAATTGATCAATTGATTTAGATCCATATTCGCGTTAAATCGGGACGTGTAACATTAAGAATTTGCCAATAATATCATCACTAAAACTGTTTAATTGGCTCTCATTTTAATGACCCGTTTTCTTTTCTATATGTTAAATAACTAATATTATATAAACTTTTACTGAATTGTGGTGCTTAAATAAGTAGTCATAATATTTTCCCCTACCTACATAAGAATTCGGTGTTGAATTTTGTATAAAATCCTCTATTTCACCTGTTAATCTTTGAGAGAACGGTCACTAAAACTTTGGTCAATCTTCCAAAGGTCACAACGAATTTATATAATCATGCAAAACATTCACTATAAGATCCGGTCAAGAGTGATCCGGTCAAGGGTGATCCAGTCAAGTGCTGTCCGGTCAAAGATGATCGGTTCAAGAGTGATCCGGTCAAGTGCTGTCCGGTCAAAGATGATACGGTCGAGAGTGATCCCGCCAAATGATGTCCGGTCAAAGATGATCCGCTCAAGAGTGATCCGGTCAAATGCTGTCCGGTCAAAGATGATCTGGTCAAGAGTGATCCGGTCAAGTGCTGTCCGGTCAAGAGTGATCCGGTCAAATGCTGTCCGGTCAAAGATGATCTGGTCAAGAGTGATCCGGTCAAGTGCTGTCCGGTCAAGAGTGATCCGGTCAAGTGCTGTCCGGTCAAAGATGATCCGGTCAAGAGTGATCCCGTCAAGTGCTGTCCGGTCAAAGATGATCCGGTCAAGGGTGATCCGGTCAAGTGCTGTCCAGTCAAAGATGATCCGGTCAAGAGTGATCCCGCCAAATGATGTCCGGTCAAAGATGATCCGGTCAAGTGCTGTCCGGTCAAAGATGATCTGGTCAAGAGTGATCCGGCCAAGAGTAATAACTTTTCGCTGGACAGTTATTCAAAAGTTATCAGAGATTGCGTTACCCAAGTGAACATGCACGTAATTTTTTTCTTCGTTAATCGATGTGACATACAATTGCCGAGACATATTTGTTAGTATAAACAGTGAGAGAATAAAGTCCTCGGCGAAACAGATTCATGCTTTTCCCAAGTGTAATAGTGCAAGGTAAACACTGCCTCAAACGGAGATCGATCTCGATTACATTATCACTAAGCTCCACATTGCTTGATATAATAAGACACTATTTACATTATTAATATTCGGACTATTATCTTCATTTTTGTTGTTGTGATCACAACGTTTTGACCGTTGTATCCCCCGGCTTTCTTCAGGAATATATCAATATATATCTGAGGAAGACCGGAGGGTACAACGGCCGAAACGTTGCGATGACAACAACAAATATGAGGATAATAGTCCGAATATAAACAGTGTAAGTAACAGTAACTCCTCAGTTCAGAAATTCAAACAGTAATAATAATTTTTATTGCTAGTAATATTTTTTCTTGAAAGATGTATTCCTGTTAATAATTTTGTCTTCAAAAATTTATTTCATAGTGTTTTGACCCCAGTTTGGTGGTTAACTATTTGCCCATAGCTGGGGCCCTAATAACAGTTGCTACCACCCCGGGTAAGGGTGAACCTGGGAACAACAGAAATTAAGAGGTGGTTCCACGCTCTTCAAAACCTTCTGATCAGAGGCCTTGCTGTTGGATGTAGTTGATGGTCTTACCCAGAACGCGGATGTAGTTGATCGTCTTATCCAGGATGCGGATGTAGTTGAATGTCAAACCCAGGACGTGCTGTATAGGTTGAATGTCCGGTGGGAAGACACATCATTGTCTTACAACCCTTTTCTATTTATATATTTTTATTGAATTTCTTTTTTTGCTACCAGTTTAGGCTCTGGTTTATTCTAATATCCTTACTGAATATGTCAAGCTAAATTAGCAGTTCCAGTAGTTGTTTGTGTCGTACTTTATCAAACGTTTGGATGGCAACAGGTTTAAGGGAGAAAGAAATGGCAAGCTACTGCGGGAAAAAATCTGCCTCGTCAGTTATGTATAGAAAGAAACATTGATCGGCTAAGCGCGTATCACGCATGGCACATAACGGACTGTCTGATCTATCTATAGCAGGACAGACCGGGTTCTATAGCCTTGGATGGCAACTGGTGTACCGTAGAAAGAAATTGCAACCTACAGCGGGAAAAATTTGCCTCGTCAGTCATGTATCGAAAGATACATGATTGCATAAGCGTGTATCACGCATGACACATAACTTACTGCCTGATTTATCTATAGCAGGACAGACCAAGTTCTATAATCTTGGATGGCAATGGGTGTACCGCAGAAAGAAATGGCAACCTACTGTGGAAAAAAAATCTGCCTCGTCAGTCATGTATCGAAAGATATATGATTGCCTAAGCGTGTATCACGCATGGGACATAACCTACAGCCTGATCTATCTATAGCTGGACAGTCCGGGTTCTATAGCCTTGGATGAAAATTGGTCTACCGCAGAAAGAAATGGCAACCTACTGTGGGAAAAAATCTGCTTCTTCAGTCATGTATCGAAAGAGACATGATTGCATAAGCGTGCATCATGCATGGCAAATAACTGACTGATACTTAACATCAGGAAGAGACAGTTGAAATTTCTAGTGCACATAATTGTTTTTAAACATTTGTTACATTTTTTACAGGACAAGTTGAAGGTCATTGGGTAGAAGAAATAACGCAGAACGTAATTAGCGAGCTTGTGTAAATTGCTGGAGGGACGATGTTTATGGGAGATAACAAAAAGACAAAATTTATTAAGAACTACAAAGAGATAGCCTATGAACCTGAAGAGGCACGACACATAGAAGAAGCCTCTCCAGATATTAAACCAATCGAAGCCCCGTAAATTATGCCTCGAGGCTGTCAAGAAATCGAGAAAGTGATATTCCGCACGCTCGCCAATGTCGATATATTCAAAGAGTAACGATGTCAGATCACACGGCACTTACAATTCATGCACAGCTTTGATCAGAAGAAATGTTACACCGTGTGTATTGACCAAAGACCATTGGGAACATTTGAAGATGGTGTTTCGAATGTAAACAAATAAAAAATGCTGGATACTGATTAAAACCAAACCAATCACTAATTAAATATTAGAAAGACAAACTTAGAAGTTAGGTAAAGTTCTGTTTTCCAATACCTAGCTACGACAATGGTGAGCAAAAACTAGGAGGGTTGAGTTAAAAGGGAGATAACTGGGACATCCGGAAGAGGCATGACACGTGGAACTAAAAAAAATCTACGCCGGTGGACGAAATAAAAGATTCAGTTCGAAATTTCAGTCACCTGAAGAAGGCCGGAGCGTACATGAAAAATGATTTATCAGTAGTAGTTTAATGGTTATTTTAATCATTTCGTCCCAAGAAAGATATTAAAGGCATTAAGACTCAAGAGTGTTACTGAGTTTCACAAGCGAGAAGTGCGAGAAAAGAAACTGTTAGGCTGCGAATTTACGGTTACCGAGTGTAAAAGTAAATGAAATAAAAAAAAAAAAGGAAAAACATTTTTTAGGGAGAGACAACAATAAAAACTAGAAATTAAGAAGACAGTAGATAACGATTGACATTGCATTTAATTTTTTGAAGATCAAAGTTGACTGGAAAGCAAGAAACTGGAAGAGGGTTCCACAAGAAAGAAGTGCGAGAAAAGAAACTGTTAGCTAGACAACTTACGGTTATATTTAGCTATTTCAACTGCAAAATGATGAAAACCTGTCGTCAATCCAGTACTGTGCTTAAATTCATAAAGTCTAGGTATCGAAGCAGAAAGTTCATCCGAGCAATCACCATAAAAAATATTTATAGAAAAGGCAGAGTGAAGCTACTTTACGAGAAAATTACTGAAGCCGAGATAACAGGTCAGGACTGATAACATTGCAGATTCTACGTATTTTATCTAGAATCTTCAAATACATAACTTTAAAAGTAGAGTTCTATTCAGTGGATCGGATGTCTGAGCCGGAGATTTGCTCCTTCATGAAAATAGACAACCAACGAGATTATTATTTTGGGTAATTATATTGGGTTAGCATTTTAGGCAGTAAAATTATAGGTCTCTTTAGACTTCTGTCTATATTTCTGAGATGAGGTATTTTAATAATTGGAGAATAATAGCCCAGTGGATAAAAGCGTTGGTTGGATCCAGTGACTTGACCCAAAGAGTTCAATACCTAGATACGGCAATGGTGAGCAAAAACTAGGAGAGTTGAGTTAAAAGGGAGATAACTGGGACATCCGGAAGAGGAACAACACGTGGAAATAGAAAAATCTACCCCGGTGGACGAAATAAAAGATTCAGTTCGAAATTTCAGTCACCTGAAGAAGGCCAGAGCGTACAACGGCCGAAACGTCGTGAACATGACAATAAAGATTAGGACAACAGTCCGAACAATGTAAATAATGTCAGTCACTTTAGACTATATGGTGATGAGAAAAGACATGCAGAGAATTATTGTAAGTTCTTGGACAAGAAGCATTTTTAATGCCACAGGCCACAAACAAGAAGCTCAAAATTATATTTGCACAACACAATGCTTTTTCTCACCCTGTAAGAGTTGACTATGGCTCATCATTTTTCGAAAAAGGGTTTATATACGCCTAATTCATGAAATAGCACCTAGGCCCTCCAGATGATAAAGCAATATAAAACTAGTGGTTATTAGTTAAGAAATAAGAATATATGAATGGAAAACAATATTTAAGAATAGAACGGTCGAGGGAGGCAATAAAAATTGTTGGAAGTAATATCGAAACTGCAGAAAGATATATATATATATTTAAAGATATTTTTGTAGGTACAAAATTTAATGATCGAAATAAAAGTATAAAATTTAATATTACAAGACATATTAAACAATAAAAAAAACAACAAAAAAAAAACACAACAACGAGGGGGGGGAAGCAACTGGTACATTTTGTACATTTTTCTGTATTAATTTTGAATCTCCCGTTGAAGCCTGAAGAGCGGGAGCGAAACCGGTTGCTTCCCCATCGTTGTTGTTTTTTTATTTTTTTTATTGTTTAATATGTCTTGTAATATTAAATTTTATACTTTTATTTCGATCATATATATATATATATATATATATATAAAAAGTGTGTGTATATAAATATAAATATATAAATATATATATATGTGTGTGTGTGTAATATATTATATATATTATTATTTATATATTATATGCGCGGTACTTATTAGAAAGCGCTCAATATTAGAGATAGAGCTAACATATTTGGTTGGATAGATGTGAGTTTGTGACCTTGGGTTTCATGCTTTTGCGATCGTCAGACAAACTGATTATTTTTTTTAAATTTTGGATGGTGTTGAATGTAGAATCTACATTCAACACCATCACTTGATAAGACAACAGCAATGTTGAAACAAAATGGCTATTCAACACCATCACTTGATAAGACACCAGCAATGTTGAAACAAAATGGCTATTCAACACCATCACTTGATAAGACACCAGAAGTGTTGAACCAAAATGGCTATTTTTGTAGTGATTTTATAACATATTTATGTTATAATTTTCGAATAAATAATTATATATATTATACAGCAAAAAATAAAAAATTACCTCATGTGGGAATAGTCTATTTCAAACTCGCACTGGTATGTGCCAGTGAGCCTCAACTCAAGACTGTCTGGAAATCAGCCAGTCAGTTATAAGCCATGCGTGATACACGCTTAGGCTATCATGTATCTTTCGACACATGACTGACGAGGCAGATTTTTCCGCAGTAGGTTGCCATTTCTTTCTGCGGTAGACCAGTTGCCATCCAAGTCTATAGAACCCATTCTGTCCTGCTATTTACACATAGTTAGAGAAGAGGATTCATACATTCCCCAACAGTATTAGCCCGCAAGTGAACGTAATGGATTCGAATGGTATTCGAACTCGGCTCTCCGATTCCTCAATCCGAGCCGCTATCCATTATGGAAATAGTGTTTTTGATATTTCCCCCCCCCTCTGGAAATAGTGTTTTTTGAATTTGGTGAAAGCGTTTGGAGACATTCAAGGGGGTACGCCTCAGTTTAGATAAGGAGTCTGGGTTGATGACCAGGAGATGGGCCTGGGTTGGAGGTTTAACGGATCTATTACCTGTACTATATATATATATATATATATATATATATATATATGTGTGTGTGTGTGTGTGTTTTGAGTATATAGTCTAGACGATTTAATTTTGTTTCTTTGTGTTTATGTTTTCTATCACTTAAGAATGCCACATGGTGATAATTGAAGATCTGCCAAGAAAAGTGAAATGTTATTAGAACCATGATGCAAATTTATTATGGATGAAATAAAGTGCTTTAATCGCCAGGTTATCCAGAGAAAATTTACGTCCAGAATCTTACAACATTTCACCTTTCTTGGCAGATCTCCCATTATCACAATGGGAGATATTTAATAACAAAAGTGATAAAAGCATAAACAAAAAGAAAACGGATAGACTGACTATCTATCTATCTATCTATCTAAGCCGTATCTATCTATCTATCTATCTATCTATCTATCTATCTAAGCCTTATCTATCTAAGCCTCTTATCTCTCTCTATCTATCTATCTAAGCCTTTATCTATCTATCTATCTATCTATCTATCTATCTATCTATCTATCTATCTATCTATCTCCGTCTCTTATCTCCTTCTCTATCTATCTATCTATCTATCTATCTATCTAAGCCTCATCTATCTATCTATTAGGTAATTCAATGACAATATAGAAACATTCTGTGAAACACATTTTGACCTCTAAAACGACTTCATCAGACTAAAGTACTTATTGATAGACATATATGAGTGCAAGAGGGAGAAACATTCTGTGAAACACATTTCGACCTCTAAAACGACTTCATCAGACTAAAGTACTTATTGATAGACATATATGAGTGCAAGAGGGAGAAACATTCTGTGAAACACATTTCGACCTCTAAAACGACTTTATCAGACTAAAGTACTTATTGATAGACATATATGAGTGCAAGAGGGAGAAACATTCGACATTTTATTCTGTTAAGGCCTTTTGCGACGTTGTAGTCACAATTCCCCTCCATCTCAAAATTGGGCTTCATGGTGACATTCAAGGAAGAATAGTGCAATGGCTGCGGTGATGATGTGATTACAGCGTCCCTTCTTTCAGAGGTGGACCTGTGTTCGAAGTTAACTTCTAACATTTTCTTAAGGCGACAGGACCTACAAGGCAGTAAGTGGTCTTGAATTCAGAGTGGCTACGACCCAAGGCTATAGGACCCAGTCTATCCTGTTATTTTACTCATAGCTGGAGGAAGAAGTGATAGATTCATACCGTAAGTGAATGTCATGAACTCGACTGGAATTCGAACACGGCTCTGTCATTCCTCATATCGAGCTGCTAACAATTACTCAACCGCGCCTCCGCAGAGCAACGATATATATATATATATATATATATATATATATATATATATATATATATATATATATATATATATATATATATATATATATATATAAAAGTATACATTTGAAAACAAAATGGCAATTTTGTAGTGATTTTATAACATATTTATGTTATAATTTTTAAATAAATAATTAGATATATCTATCTATTTATCTATCTATCTAAATCTATTTAAAAAATCACATTGAAAATTGCCAACACTTAGTGTTGACTTCAATGTTCACTTTTATACTTGCACACGTTCTAACTCTGATATTTAGCACTTTATCCCATAAATATAGCACACCTAAGAATATGTTTCTTAATATATATATATATATATATATATATATATATATATATAACTATTCATGCCAACTTCTCTGGTCTGATGAGCTATTCAATTGGTGCCCCAACTACATGAAGTTACGCTAGGGTGACATTTCGGTCCCACCCTTTTACTGTCGAAACTGTAAAAGGTTGGAACTGAGATGCTTCTACTCCAACAGCTTCTTCTCTCGCTCTTCCTGTGAGTAGAACATCCTTCCTCTTACTTGATTTCTGGATAACTATATTTTTCAAAAAATTAAATGTAATGTCAATCGACACCTTCTCATGCCTTGATCTTAATCTCTGTTCTTCTCTTTATTCTTTCCACAAACACCCCTCTTTACTGTTAATTTCACTCTCTGTAACACCATGCGTGCTAGTGGAACTCACGCATTGCTGGGGGTGAAATACTTTTTAATACTACTGTTTTCTGGTCTGATTCAACTCCGGCCATTAACCTTATATATATATATATATATATATATATATATATATATACGTAAAGGTCGGTTATAATTATAAAATTAAAAAAAAATTAAAACTTAATCTCACAGATAATAAAGCCGAAATTGATTCCCACAGGACGCTCCCAACTCGTAACCATGTGCCAGACTAAAGAAAACTTAATAAATAAATCACTCGGCATTACTGTTGTGCAGGGTTTAGCAATTAGTGTAGTGTAGTCGGTCCTTGTGGGTTGACTTTATTTTATTGGCTCTGAGCTGTAATAAGCTAAGCGCTGTAAATATTAATAAATGTATCCATTCGTCGCAAATTTGCAATTATGCCAAATTATTCCATATATCTGAGTTAGATTAATCCAGGGTTCTATTAATTATTCAAATAACTCCAGAGGTTAAAAAGTCAATTGCTTTCGGCTGTCAGTTTGTGTCGATTCCCAGGGGCGAAGTACAAATTTGTTCGCAAGTACGTGAGCCCTATGTGACAATAAACGAATAAACAGACTTATTTATTTTACTAACATTCATCAAATATAAAACCCAGAGCTACGCAAATTTAGCGAATGATTTGGGTGATATGAATGCAAGAGTAGAAAGTGAGGATTATGAGGATATGGCGGATAGATAACGATTGACCTTTAACTTGAAGAGGTTAAAATTGCAGCGCTCGGGAAAGGCAGGGAATGAGGAAAAGAAAGAAGGAAGAAGTATCTATAGAGAAAGAGAATTTGTATATTAAAGTCCGCCTCATACAAGACTCGTGAGCCACGCAGAATAGAGGGTTACTGTTAAATGGTTATGGTCAATGAGATGTGTGATATAAATGCAAGAGGCGGATGTAGAAAGTGCAGATTATGAGGGTGAGTATAACGATGTGAAGAGCATAAGATTGCTGTTTTGAATTTTTTGTAGTAGATAATTAATTTAATTTTTTTTTATTCGGATCAATTGGGGTAGTGTATTTCTTTATAATCGTAGTACCTTGTGTGTCGTTTTTAATAGAACATGCATATATCTATCTATCTATCTATCTATCTATCTATCTATCTATATATATATATATATATATATATCCGTAACATACTAATAGATAATACAAGTATAATAGCCTCATCCACAAGTAGAAAAAAAATTCAAATTAATGAAAGTACTAATAAAAAAAAGGAAAAGCCAACACTCAGTAACATTAACTATGAACACGGCCACAATGTACTGACCGTGTTTGGGAAATAAAACCTTCCTATAACTCTAGATACAAGCATAAAAATACACACATTCGGCTAAAAATAAAAAAAAAATTATCTTCCTTGATCATGGCTAAAAGAATAGCCGAAATCGCTCGATCATGCAGAACGTTTGGACAGTTTTTACACACTTCGTGTCCAGAAAAGAAAACACTCGTGCGAAAACAAGAAAAATTAAATAAAAAGCTTAATTGCAGTACCTTGTCAGATGTCTTTAACGAAACTTGTATAAGAGAAGGTTTGCTGCACAAATACACAATTGTCACATACACACACACACACACACACACACACACACACACATATATATATATATATATATATATATATAAGTCCGACATTAATTTTAAGACATATTTATGTTTATACATTCTTTTTATAGATAGAAATATTTAAGTAAATGCTCTGTTTATAATAAAAAGTATTAACAACATTTACCGATCTGAATGTCATAGAAAATATTCGTCCTCCGACAAGAATCGAACCTGTATCCTATGCGGAACTGTCATTTAGCCGATTTTACTGTCTTTACATTTGGATACGCCATGAGCAGATATGAATGTACGTGAAAGAATCATGGAAGATTGTAATTTAAAGACAGTAAAATCGACCTCGCTAACCGAACGCTCCTTTGTGGCCGAATCGGTTTAGGCACGTCAGGCTAAATGACGGTTCCGTATAGGATACAGGTTCGATTCCTGTCGGAGGGCAAATGTTTTCTATGATAATTTCTCGGACATTCAGGCCGGTAAATGTTGTTTAATACTGTTTATTATAAACAGAGCATTTACTTAAATATTTGTATCTATAAAGAGAATGTATGAACATAAAGATGTTCTTAATATATATATATATATATATATATATATATATATATATATATATATATATATATACACGCGCACGGTTTTACAACTGTTTTGTATTATTTTATTTTTCTTGCAGGCTGTCGAAAAATAATTCTTGGAGAAATGTGTTTTATAATTAAAAATCAAGTACAGAGATAAGAATCAAGAAAACGCATGAATTAAATGCAATTCTGTTTAAACCATTAGATAAAAAAAAACGAACTTTTTAAAATTAATTTGCAATTTTAATTGAAAACGTCCGCTTCGTCTTCCTGAAGCGAATTTAAAAATGCCCGGATGACGCATTAGCGTGACATCGAATGAAAGGGAAAGAGACAGTGAAGAAAGAACAGGAAATAATTTGTTTTTTCAGAAGGGAGGAAATCAAGGACAAAAATAAGATGGCGAAGATTAGAAAACTGCAAGTAAAAAGTTAGAGAAAAGGTAAGACAAAGATAGATAGATTGATAGAGAGAGAGAGAGAGAGAGAGAGAGAGAGAGAGAGAGAGGAAAGAGAGAGAGAGAGAGAGAATGTGTGTTTGAGAACGAGAGTGAAATAAAGAGAAAGAAAGAGGAAGAAAAGTAGAACTAGGTAGATAGGGAGAAGGAAATAAATGGAGTTGAACAGAAGTTGGGGAGAGAAGTCGACAAAAAGAGAACGCGAGACAGAAAATGACACAAGAGAAAAGAAAGAATTCCTTAGAAATAGAAAAATAGAGGAGAAGAAGAGAAGGGATAGAGTAAACGAAAAAGAAGAAAAAGAAAGAGAAGTGAAGGAATGCATTAAAAAGAGAATGCGAGGAGAGAGAGAGAGAGAGAAGAGGAGGAGAAGGAGAAGGAGAAGTAAAGAATCAATAGCAAAAGGAGATAATTTGATGAAAAGAGTGAAGGAAGAGAGGACAAAGTTGAGCGCAGATTAAAGAAAGCGAAGGAAAGAAGGAAGTAAAGAAAGCAAGAGAGAAGTCGAAAGAAAAAGTGGAAAATAAAACTAAAGAAGATTGCAGATTAAATGAAGTAAACAAGAAAAAGGAAAAAGAGAGGGAGTGATGTCGAAAGATAGCGAGAAAAATAAGTAAAAACGAGAAAGAAAGCGTAGAAGGAAGAGGAAGGGCTGCAGTTTGAATAAAGAGGCAGAAAAGAGAAGAAGAGAGAGAGAGTAATGAGTAATGTAACTAAAGAGAAAGGGAGTAATAGAGAGAGAAAGGAAAGGAGAAAGAGAAAGAGATGGAGAAAGAAAGAGAGACAGCAAGAAATAAAGATGGAAGATTAGCAAGCTTGAATAAGCAGAGTAAAAAGAAAGTTGGAAATAAATACTGAAAGAGGAAGAGAAAAGAGAGAAGATAATATTGAAAAATAAAGAATGCAAATAAATGAAACGGGAAGAAGAAAGTGCAATTTGTGTATTAATAAAGGCAAAAGGAAAGTGATGAAAAGAAAAAAAAAAAAGAAGAAATCCAAAGAAATAAAGGGAGAAGGTGACAAAAGGCGTAAAAAGAAAGAAGGAATCAGTAAAGATGGCGGTGAGTGAGAGGTTAATGATGGGGAAGTAAACGCATTTAAAAAAAGATTGATAAAAAAAAACAAAGTATAGTCCAGCGCGGCGTCTGCTGCGCACTCAGACAAAAAGATAACGATAGAATATCACCCTGGCACGGAAAGCAAAAGTCCAGTTCCGTTGTTCAGAATCACGCCTTTTGAAATTAATTCAAATACACTGGTATGTAAAAAAAACAAACAAAAAAAAAAAACAACAAAAACAAAACCAAAGAACCTACTATTAAAAGGATATGAGACATAATATCATTCTTACCATGATATCATATCGCCATGTGTAAATGGATGACGTACAAAAGAGAGATAACAAATGATTAAAAAAAAGAGCTACAAAAGACTGGAAATTGTGGAGAGCCATGATCAGAAACATTCTGAAGGGACACGGCACATAGAAGAAGTATCTGTCTATATTTCCGAGATGAGGTATTATACACATTATTTACATTATTCAGACTATTGTCCTCATCTTTGTCGCCATATTTATTACAACGTTTCTGAAAGTTCTCCACTGCCTTAACCGGTTATTGAACTCACACTCTTTGGGTCCTGTCACGGGATCTAACCAACGTCTTTATCCACTGTGCCATGTGTCATGAGGGAAATTAACAGAATATAACTGACAACTGACACGCATTAAAACATGGCACGTGGAACTAGAACAGTCTACCCCAGTGAGCGAAATAAAGGGTTCAGTTCGACATTCCAACCACCTGAAGAAGGCCGGAGCGTACAAGGCCGAAACGTTGTAATTAATATGGCGACAAAGATGAGGACGATAGTCAGAATAATATAAATAATGTAAGAAGAAGAAGTGTTATTAGGTTTTTATTAGGTTGGTGCAAAAATAATGACGTAATAATGTCGTTTTTTGATGTTAAAAAATACGTCAAAAAACGACATTATTACGTCATTATTTTTGCACCAACCTAATACATATAAATCTTCAAAAACATTTTTCAAATTACATTACATCGTAATTATGTGGTATAAGTTTTCTTACTAAATAAAACAATAAACTGAGACCCTGTTTTAAAACATCGGGCTCATCATATTCTTTCCCTATCCCCGCCACTTGGCGACAGTGACGGAGATGGATGTGATTCAAAGAGACGAAGCCATTCGCGTGAATTTGGTTTTGGTGGACAACTCTGGGCGACGGTGAAGTCCACACACTTGGGCAGAAGCGCCACATTCGCGGATCAAAGGAGATTTAGACAGGCGAGATCTGGCAAATCTGGTCATGGTGGGCGTAGAGATAGCGTAGCGGTTTATCAGCGCTGAAATATGATTGATAGAGGAAGTCTGGTTTCTGTCATGGGCACCACTTTACCTCATTTTGATTCACAAAACAATGAACAAAAACAAAACGAACTTTTTATCGTTGGGAGAGTGGTTAAGTTTAATATCCTCCGCAGACAATAGGAGCTTCCTTCATAATATTTCTATTTCTCGCCTGGGTTTTTCGTTGCGTTTTCTCGCTCCAACCCTCGTGCCTTTCCTTCATATTCCAAAGAAAGCGAAAAGAAAAAAAGTGTTTATTTGAGTCGTATTTCTTCAGCATTCATCGACACAAAGCAGTGAGCAGATTAAATCTATTGTGTATATAGTAGGATAATTTTGTGTATTTGTAAGTGCGCGTATGTGCATGGTATCTACTATTACAAACACGCACACACACACATATATATATATACTAGATGTTATTAAATTGAATAAAATTGGCTTGCCCTATATATGTGGATATATTTCTGCAAAATTCAAAATCGAGAGCATATGAAAATTATATATATATATGCTGCCTAAATATATGTATATATATATATATATATATATATATATGTGTGTATGCTTACAAACATATATATATATATATATATATATATATATATATATATATATATATATATATATGTATGTATGTATAAAGACATATATATATATATATTATTTTGTTATACACACACACACATATATATATTATATTATATTATAATAGCAGGCTTCGTCCACTCGCTATTGCTTCGCAAAGTAAGATATATTCACTAATTGAAATCTTTGAAACAAAAATTTTAAATGAACATTTCATTCATAAATTGACTTGTTATAGTTAAGGAAAGTTTTACAAACAGATGCCAACTTGTTGAAGGACAAGTAAAATGCAAATTTCAAACACATTCTGCACTATATAAGACAATATTCCTAAACAGAACTATTTTTTTTTACCAAAACAATTATTTTTATCAAAACAATCCTTGAATAATGGAACAATAACGAAGGACAATTAATTAATGAAATAAACTTTTTTAAAATCAATATTAGTTAATTAGTTAATCTTGAAGAGTGATATCACCTAGAAGTAGATAATATATAATACAGATATTGAGCTTTTAGTGTATAAATTACTATAAAGTAGCATTAGGGCTTTTTAACCACCGAATACTTTCGATGATTGATCTCGAATTTCGCATTTATTCATATAGATTCCATAATACAGGTTTTACTTAATTAGTTATTATGTTTCTCTAAGTCTTCAAACGTTGAATGTATAACTAATTCTAATTTCTATTTTCCCATCTTTACACAATATTAATTTTATTTTCTAAACTGTCCCCTGTTTTGTCATCCATGAAATAAAAATATTTGTTTGTACGGAAAATAAGGATCGACTTACATCAAATTGTTTTTACTTTAAGTGACAGTAGAAGAATTGTCGCTGAACTTTAAAAGATAAACTTAAACATTAATTCAATACTTAAATGCAGCGATCAATTTTGAGTTCATCTGTAGGTTATTGATGCTGGCCACACCAAGAGTCCTCCATGGGATCTAGCTTAAATGCCACCCGATAGGGCGGTTTTTAAACTAGTTTATAATAAAACGTGCACGTCATTATTGAATTTTGGATACAAAAGGAAAATAAGAGTTACACTCCTTGAAACAGGAAATCAACGATAATGGCTAGTATAATATATTAATATATATTTTTAACTTCGTAAAATCTGGTATCTATGAATCTGAGCTCAACGAAAATCGTTCCCTGTGTCTAACTTTTCTGTGGCTTTTAAATGAGCTATGAATCATTGAAATCGGACCAATGGGAGCGGAGGAGTTTATTGGAAACAAACACACACATACACTGCACTTTATATATAAGATATATATTATCTTGTATATATTATATTATATATAGAAATTAAATTATATATATTATCTTATCTTATATATATATATTATATTACATAAATAGGTATGGATATTATAGTATATACATATATATATATATATATATTTATATATGTATATATATTATATATATTACATATATTATATATATATATATATTAATATATATTCATATATATATATATATATATATATATATATATATATATATATATATATATATATATATATATATTAGGGAATGATGTATGTGAAAGTGGAAAAAAGATTTAGTGTGTAGCGTTTCGTCCTTTAGGACTTCATCGGACATATGTTTACGTTGCGTCGACTACCCATGCGCATGAATGAGAGACGCTGGAAATTTAAAGAGGATTTTTTTAATGTGTTTTCGGATTTCATTAAAATTGTTATTAATTATCCTCCATTGTGATAATAGAAGATCATTATCCCATTTATATATATATATATATATATATATATATATATATATATATATATATATATATATATATATATATATACCAATAGTTCATTCATTGTAAGGTATAAAAAAGCTCAAAGTTGTTAAAAACCAAAGAACATGTGCCACAAGGAAGATTTCTTCAAGATCTTCGGGGAAATTAATGCGTCAAATTAAATAAAATCCGATGGTTACTCGTCAGAATTTGCAGGGTGAATTGCTTTCATCAGGAATCTGTGTCACTAAACGGGCAATAAGCAATGAAATCCATGGGAACAATCTAAAGTCACGCTCTCCTCGGAAAACACCACTGATATTGGAAAGACACTGAAATGCCAGGTTGAAATTCGTTTATGAATATAAGGGTAAGGAAAAATCGTATTGGGAAAGAGTATTATGAACAGAGGAACCAAAATTGAGTTGTTTGAACGTAATTTTTGCAAATCGTGAAGGCAAGAAAGATGACGATGCCTCCAAACCAAAGAACACAGATCCAATAGTGAAATTTGGTGGTGGCAGCATTATGGGTTAGGATGTTGTTTCAGTAAAAGGTACTGACAACATATCAGTAATAGATGGTAGAATGAATACGGCAGCCGATCAAATATTTTGGAAGCAAATTTAATGGTTCCTGCTGAAGATCTTGAACTTCTTCCTGAGTGGATCTTCCAACAAGATAATGATTCTAAGCACACTGGAAAATCTAAGAATTGGCTTGCTGAAAATAATGTAAATATCCTGAATTGGCCAAATCAGTCGCGAGATTAAAACATAATCGAGAATCTGTGGTGTTATTTGAAAATTCAAATTCAGTCGAGAACTTCAACAAACATGTCGGATCTGAAGAAGAAGATTGGAACAAAATGCTAACTAAAATTCAACAAATCTTTAAGTGAGAATTGCAAGAAGTTGGTGGCTATAGAAGTGAATAATTGCTATTCTAGAAAGTATTAAATAAAGATGATTTATTCTTTTTTGTATTGTACGAATACTTTTTCACTTATTAAAATGGATAAATAGGTTCTATTGAACCATTTTCTTTCTATTTTCTATGCATATTTATTTAATATGCATCTGTATACAATTAATTATATGAAAAGTATGTTGAGAAAGTGTATTATGGACAGACGAAACCAAAACAGTTCTTTGGACGTAATTCAAGAAAACATGTAGGGAGGAAAGATGGCGATACCTTCAAACAAAAGAACACAGTTTCAACAGTGACTTTTGATGGTGGCAGCATCATATTTTCGGGCTGTTTTCTGCAAAAGGTACTAGTAACATATCAGTAATAGATGGTAGAATGAATGCCGCAGCATATCAAAATATTTTGGAAGGAAATTTAATGATTTCGGTTGAAAATCTTGAACTTCCTCCTGATTGGATCTCCCAACAAGATAATGATCCTAAGTACACTGCAAAATCTATGAGGAAATGGCTTGCTGAAAATAATGTAAATATCCTGAAATGGCCAAGTCAGTCTCCAGATTTAAACCCAAATCTTAAATCTTAAAATTCAAATCAAGAGCTCCAACGAACATCCCGGATCTGAAGACCATATGTGAAGACAAATGGAGCAAAATACCAACTAAAATTTGCAACTACAGGAAGAGGTTACTTGATGTAGACGTGAATAATGGCTATTCTACAATGTATTAAATGAAGATTATGTCTTCATTTTTTGTATTGTACGAATAAGTTTTTCACCTACTAAAATGGATAAACGGGATTTATTTATGTTAAATCAAAATTGTCTCTGTTTTCTATGCATATTTATTTATTATGCATTTGTGTACAGTTAATTATATGAAAAGTATGTTTATTCTCCAGTTGGAAATACAATAAATTAAATATTAGTATATGTATGAATGTTCTTCCCCACTGTGTATTGAATAATCAAAATAACGCGAAAAATACAATTTAAACTGTCAAAACATGAAGAGAACCATTAAAGAAAACTCCCATGAAAATGGCTAAAGTGACCGAAAGCAATTGGCATAATGGACAACATGGACAATTTTTGCAATCCCTTCCTCCTACTAAACGGAAAAAAATGTAAGAACGCAGGAAAAGTCAAATAAAAATTTTTCCTTATCTTATATTTAACGAAATATGCTTAAAAGCTGTGTATATATATATATATATATATATATATATATATATATATATATACGTTATTTACATTATTCGGACTATTGTCCTCATCTTTCTCTCCAGTTTCTCCACTACCTTAACCAGGTATTGAACTCACAACACATTGGGTCCTGTCACTGTATATATATATGTATGTAAGCAAATATATGGATATATATCCAGATATATATATATATATATATATATATATATATATATATATATATATATATATATATATATATATATATATATATATATATATATATATATATATATATGTTACTAAATAAATATTACTAGTATGTATAAATATTTGCCTTCGTCTGTTTGTATGTATGGTTGGGTTTTACATACATGTGTGCGCGCGCGTGTGTGTGTGCATTTTTGCCATTCGAGTTGCTTTGTTCTCTTGAGCCGTGGAGCTGGAACGAAGATCTAACATCAAAGACGCCATTTAAGAACGGATGATGCGCTCTGCGGCGAGACGCAACTGAAATCAAATATAAGAACTCACTTTACATTCAGTTTTGCATTAGCTGCGATCTAAGAATGAGCGAAAGGACAAGAGAACGGACGGACGAATTAGCAAAAGCGAACAGTTGCAAAACGAAAGGGAGGAACAAATGATGTGGGTGTATCTTCCCATCGACAAAAGCCGCCATCTTGCGTCACTATCAGCCACCTACGCATACACTCACACGCACACCCCCATATATATATATATATATATATATATATAAAAGCCTAAGAACTTGAGTCATGATCTTAAATAGCCTTGTCAG